CAATGCAAACAGCCCAGCAGCCATTATTGTTACTAAGGACTACTAAGATGAACCTGTTCTGTGGGCATTCCAGTTGGTTAGTGTCCAATATTTATGTATTTATTTGATTTATATACCGCCCTCCCTGCAAGCGGGCTCAGGGCAGTTTACATCAATATCATAACAATCGTTTAGTAACAGATTAAAGCAACATAAAACCACAGATCATAAAATCACAACTACCATGTAAAATAACCTGTTCAGGTGTCAATCATATCTGAGTATAGCAGTGGTGCCTCAATGTCAAATTTGAACCAGGCCACTGGTGGGGAGCTGGCCAGGAAAAAGGGAGGGATGCCCGTTGCCTCAACCAAAAGCCTGGTGGAAGAGCTCTGTCTTGCAGGCCCTGATAAAATAACCTGTTCAGGTGTCAATCAGATCTGAGTATAGCAGTGGTGCCCCGATGTCAAATTTTAACCAGACCACTGGTGGGGGGTTGGCCAGGAAAAAGGGAGGGACGCCCATCGCCTCAACCAAAAGCCTGGTGGAAGAGCTCTGTCTTGCAGGCCCTGATCCCACAGGGCCCTGATCGCGTGTGGGAGCTCACTCCACCAGGCAGGGGCCTGGGCCAAAAAAGCCCTGGCCTTGGTCGAGGCTAGACGGATGTCCCTCGGGCCAGGGACTGCCAGGAGATGTTGATTTGTGGACCTCAATGTTCTGCGGGGCTCATATGGGGAGAGACAGTCTCGAAGGCATGCTGGCCCCTGGCCGTATAGGGCTTCTTTAAAGGTACGCACCAGCACCTTGAAACAGACCCGGAATTCAATAAGCAGCCAGTGCAGTTCGCGCAGCACTGGGTGGATGTCAGCCCGCACAGGTGTCGCCGTCAACACCCGTGCTGCCGCGTTCTGCACTAGCTGCAATTTCCGGAGCAGAGTCAAGGGGAGCCCCACGTAGAGAGAGTTACAATAACCCAGTCTGGAAGTGACCATTGCATGTGTCACTGTAGCCAGGTCCTGGGGGTCGAGACATGGGGCCAACTGCCTGATCGGTCTCAGATGGAAAAAGGCTGACCTGGCGGTGGTGGTGATCTTGGCCTCCATAGAAAGGGAGGCATCCAGGAGCACCCCTAGGCTCTTCACACTTGACGTAGGCACCAGTGGAGCCCCGTCAAAGGTTGGGAGCCTGATCCCCTGGCCCAATGCCCCGCAACTCAGATGCGGGACCTCCGTCCTGGATGGATTTAACTTCAGTTGGCTCCGTCACAACCATCCAGCCACAGTTTGTAATGTCTCATCCAGATCTCCTGGGGCCGTGTCCAGGCGGCCGTCCATCAGTAGATAGAGCTGGGTGTCATCCGCATACTGGTGACAACCCAGCCCATGCCTCTGGATAATATGTGAGGGGGCGCATCTAGATGTTGAACAACATGGGGGAGAAAACTGCTCCCTGCAGCACACCACGTTCTAGTGGGTGCCACTGGGATAACTCCCCCCCGCCCCGAGCGCCACCCTCTGTCCCCAACCCTGAAGAAAGGAGGTCAGCCACTGGCCAAGCCCCTGTATCCCCACGTAGGCAAGGCAGCAGGTCAGCAGCTGGTGGTTGACTGTGTCAAACGCAGCTGACAGATCTAACAATGGCAGCACTGCCACTCCGCCTCAATCCAGATGTCTCCAGAGGTTATCCACCAGCACCGTCTCCATCCCATGGGCAGGGTGAAAGCCGGACTGGGAGGGATCCAGGCACAGTCAAACAAGGTAAGTTCGACTTGAAATTCACAGCATCCCTAGTTGTATCTGGTCACCTTGGGCGGGGGGGGGAGGGTCGGCCACTAAGGCCTCCACAAATAGTCCCAGTGGGCTGATGGCATTGGAGCTACACCGCCCAGCCTGGGGAAGGAGATGTTCTTGACCCTTCCAAGCAAAATCCCATGCAGCAGCTCCCAGGACACGGAAACGAGGCACCTGTCCAAGACTGCCATAGAGCTAAGTAGGCAAGCTCTTTCTCCCTCTCTCCTCTTAGGGGTGAGGTATAGCCTCTCTTCCCCCCTTATTAAGTCACAGGTAACTTACAGCAGCCCCATAGGATTTTTAAGGCAAGAGACGTTCAAAGGTGGTTTGCCACTGCCTGCCTCTGCGTAGCAGCCCTGGTATTCCTTGGTGATCTCCCATTCAAATACTGACCTGGGCTGACCCTACTTCACTTTCGAGACCCGATGGGATTGGGTTAGCCTGGGCTATCCAGGTCAGGGTGAGGTAGGGCCGTTTTCCATGGCCAATTTTTGATCCAGTCCATCCCTATTACAGATGTTGCGGTGCTGCCTTGCAGTCACAAGAAACTGAATGGAGGGATAAGACAAGCTACACTTAATAAAAAGTCCTCTTCTATACAATTTGAAGGCACAAGAATCCTCCCTCCTCCTCTGCATCCAGTCTCCTCTCTTACTCCATTTCTTGTCCATTCCTTCTGAAGCATCAACACTACCCAGGGTAGGGAAGCAGGATATGTTCCCTCTAAGCTGTTGAGTCTTGTGAGCAGAAATTCTACTTTGTGAGCTGCTGGCATTAAAATTGTGAGCAAGCAATTTGGCTGCTGCATAAATTAGTTTGCTCTGCAGCCATCCTTCCTGAGCTAAGACACAAAATGTGTGAGC